TGGGTGTTGTGTGGAGAACGCAGTGAGCGATACACAGGGAGGGAAGACACTTTATTTCCCTGTGGGAGTCTCGGGGGTAAGGACAGAGCAGTTGGAGGTTAGCAGCGATAAGCCCTCGCATCCTCTCCCACTGCCCCCCTGCTTCCCTGCTCAGGCACCTCTCCTCCCGCTGGGCCAGCAGGAATGAGACAGGAAGGGGAGGGGAGGGGTTGGGGCGGGGAGGACACTGTTCCTTCTGCATATGCGGCCCCTTTCCACTCTCTCATCTCCTCTCACCTCCATAGATCCCCTCTTCCTCAAGCACCATCTCACAGGCATAAAACTGAAAGAGAAAAGGAAGCCGGTTAGCAAACACCGCTCCTCCCTTCTTTCCATCCTTGGAGTTCCTCCAGGATCACTGACAGGACAACACTGACTGGCCCAGTAAGAGAACCCAGACGCTTGGATCTAAAAAGGGCACCGGGCCCAGCCGACATGGCTCAGTGGTTGAGCATCGACCTATGAACCAGGAGGTCACGGTTCAATTCCCTTCCCGGCCAAGGGCACATGCCTTGGTTGTGGGCTTGATCGCCAGTAGGGGGCGTGCAGGAGGCAGCCAATCAATGATTCTCTCTCATCATTGATGTTTCCATCTCTTTCTCCTTCTCCCTTCCTCTCTGAAATCAATAAATATATATTTTTTAAAATATATTTTATTGATATTTTTACAGAAAGGAAGGGAGAGGGATAGAAAGTTAGAAACATCGATGAGAGAGAAACATCGATCAGCTGCCTCTTGCACACTCCCTACTGGGGATGTGCCCGAAACCAAGGCACATGCCCCTGACCGGAACCGAACCCGGGACCCTTGAGTCCGCAGGCCCGACGCTCTATCCACTGAGCCAAACTGGTCAGGGCAATAAATATATTTTTTTTAAAATAAAATAAATAAAATAAAATAAAGAAAGAAAGAAAGGGCACTGGAATCACGGAGCCCAACTCTTTGCTCCCTGGAAGAGCTGTGCAAAGGAGAAGGCGCTGCAGCTGTCACGGAAGGGCCATGCAGAGGCCGGCTTCACGTCCCACCGTCTGTACTCGGGCGGCTTGCCCACAGACCCCCGGCTACACAATCAGGCCTACGCTACTGAGGCAGCAGCGGGTGGTCGTCTTCACACATCTGCTTTCAGGGAGCTGGAGCGGGGGGCCCTTGGCCCCTTCCCCGCCCCGAACCCTGTCCTGCCCGATACCACTGCCATCGGGACCCAATCTCACCTTCTGAGGGCTGAAGATCACTTTGTATTTTCGCGTTCGGCCGGCCAACTTGTCAGCATTGACGAGATCTGCGGACAGAGGGAATGCGACCCAGAAAGCCGTGGGCCATGTGTCAGGTGAGAAGCAAGGGAGCAGTTACCCTTTTATTTATTTATTTATACATTTTTTAAATATATTTTTATTGGTTTCAGAGAGGAAGGGAGAGGGAAACAAACATCAATGATGAGAGAGAATCATTGACCGGCTGCCTCCTGCACGCCCCCTACTGGGGATGGAGCCCGCAACCTGGGCATGTGCCCTTGACCGGATTCGAACCTGGGACCCTTCAGTCTGCAGGCCGGGGCTCTATCCACTGAACCACACCCGCTAGGCTCCTTTTTTTTTTTTTTAATTCTTTATTGTTAGAAGTATTACATGTTTCCTTTCCCCCCATTGACCTCTCCCGCCCGCTCCTGCCCCCCAGCACAGGCCCTCACCTCCCTACTGACTGTGTCCACGGGAGCAGCTGTCCTCGACGTGGCATGGCCAACCCCAACGCCTCTTCACTTACGAAAGGGTCCCTGTGCCCGAGGCCCTTAGATCTCACACCCCCCCCCCCCCCCAGGTCTCAGTGACACGGCGCGCCACGCTATACTCACTGGCTATGTATCGCATGTTCTTGATGCGGGGTCTGACCAAGAAACACAATCTATGGGAGAGAAAGGGGAGAAACTCAGCGAAGGGAAGTCATGAGGTTGGTGACAGACAGAGCCACCTGAAGAAACTGAAACAACACCCCACTCTTTCACCATCTGCTCCTCTCGACCGGCCGACCGTTCCCAGCCTCCCCACAGCCGGGCCTGCTCTGACCACGGACTCCCCTCCCGACATCCGGGACACTGTGCTCAGCATGTGGCCCCTCTGGGGTACCCGGAGTTCCTGTTCTCAAACAATTTACAATGTGTCAGGCGAAATAAGGTGCACACATGTATAAAGTATCAAACACGTGTTTAAAAACAATACAGAAAGTTGTCTGGACAGCATGGCTCAGTGGTTGAGCATCGAACTAGGAACCTGGAGGTCACAGTTCGATTGCTGGTCAGGGCACATGCCTGGGGTGCAGGCTCAAGTGTGGGATGTGCAGGAGGCAGCCAGTCAATGATTCTCTCTCATCATTGATGTTTCTCTCTCTCTCCTTCTCCCTTCCTCTCTGAAATCAATAAAAAGATATTTTTTAAAAATACAAGAAGGTATATAAAATGTTTTTCTAACTTGGATGTATTCTCCATGTACCCAGGAGAATTTTTCCTCTAAGGGAGGGTGTACATTACTTAAAATTGAAAAGTATTGCCCTAACCGGTTTGGCTCAGTGGATAGAGCGTCGGCCTGCGGACTGAAAGGTCCCAGGTTCGATTCCCGTCAAGGGCATGTACCTTGGTTGCGGGCACATCCCCAGTAGGAGGCGTGCAGGAGGCAGCTGATCGATGTTTCTCTCATCGATGTTTCTAACTCTCTACCCCTCTCCCTTCCTCTCTGTAAAAAATCAATAAAATATATTTTTTAAAAAAAAGATTGAAAAGTATTAAAAAGAAAAACAGCCCTGGCTGGGTGTTGCTCGGTGGTTAGAGTGTCGGCCCAGGCACCAAAGCGTCCCAGGTTCGATTCCCGGTCAAGGGCATGTACCCAGGTTGCCGGTTCGATCCCAGGCCCCGGTCAGGGCTCATGCAAGGAGGCAACCAATCGATGTGTCTCTCTCACATGGATGTTTTACTCTCTCTCTCCTCTGTCTCTCTCCTTTCCACTCTCTCTGAAAAAGCAATGGAAAAAATATGCTCTGGTGAGGATTTAACTAAAAGAGAAAAGAGCCGAAACCGGTTTGGCTCGGTGGATAGAGCGTCGGCCTGCGGACTGAACGGTCCCGGGTTCGATTCCGGTCAAGGGCATGTACCTGGGTTGCGGGCACATCCCCAGTAGGAGGTGTGCAGGAGGCGGCTGATCGATGTTTCTCTCTCATTGATGTTTCTGGCTCTCTATCTCTCTCCCTTCCTCTCTGTAAAAAAATCAATAAAATATATTTTAAAAAAAATAAAAGAGAAAAGAAAAAAGAAAAACAAAAAGCAGACAACAGGCAGTGAGTGTGTGACAAATACTAAACACCCTGGAGATCCAGAGGAGGAAGGCTTCATGGAGGAGGCGGCACTGGGCTCTGAGGGCTGGGTATGTCTTACAGGAGCAGTGAGGACAGGAGGGCATTTCAAGGCAGAGTGGATGGAGTGGCCAGAAGGGGGATGCCACGTGCATGTAGCTGGGAAGCATGTGGAAGCACGTGTCCAGCGGAGGCTTGAGGGCCCCGTGAGAGACCAGGCTGCAAAGGCAGCGTGAGGTCCAACTGAGGATTCCCTCGGCTTCCACGATGAGCAATCTGCACTTGACTGGGTAAGAGAAGACTTGATGGTTCTTGAGAAGAGCACGGTGAAAAATATATATATTTTTTAAAGTACATTTTTGCCCTAACCGGTTTGGCTCAGTGGATAGAGCGTCGACCTGCGGACTGAAAGGTCCCAGGTTCGATTCTGGTCAAGGGCATGTACCTTAGTTGCGGGCGCATCCTCCGGTGGGGGTTGTGCAGGAGGCAGCTGATCGATGTTTCTCTCTCATTGATGTTTCTAACTCTCTATCCCTCTGCCTTCCTCTCTGAAAAAAAAATCAATAAAATATATATTTTTTAAAAAGTATATTTTTATTGATTTCAGAGAGGAGAGAGTGGGAGAGAGAATATCCATTGATGAGAGAGAGCACTGATCAGCTGCCTCCTGCCTCCTGCACGCCCTCTACTGAGGATCGAGCCCAAAACCCAGGCATGTGCCCTGACTGGGAATCGAACCGTGACCTCCTGGTTCATAGGTCGACGCTCATCCACTGAGCCACACCAGCCGGGCAATGAAAACATTTTTGAAAGCTTCATCCATCTGGTTAGAGGTGGCAGACTGGACGAGAGGAAGAGGACAAGGGAGGGAGAAACTGCAGAAAAGGAAGACGGAACAAGGGGCTAAAGCAAAACCTTGCATGCAACTGCCCAAGAGCAGGGAGGGGAACCGTATCACAAGCATCACGCTGCCAGATCCCAGCCACGGACGCATCAAGGGCAAAGTGCAGGGACGTCCCCCGGCTTGGAGGCGAGCCGGACGCCCCAGACACTCACTGTTCACTGGAGCTCAGGACTGGCTTGTTCTCCACCTTGTACAGCTTGTCTACTTCGTGTTGCTGCCGAGAGAAGCCAACAAGACAAGGGACACAGAGTGCTTGGAAACCCACAGCATGACCCAAAAGCAGGGACTTGGGCTCCTCGTCATGCTAATCCTGGGGATCAAACTGCCTCCCTGACACCCATTCACTGAACCTTCCCCAAACTGTCAACAGAAAAACCAAAAATAAAACAATTCAAAAACAATAGATAATACCATCCATTCCAACTACCCTCTATTTACCCTACAATAGCAGTCACTCTTTAATAATTTGTACTGTTCTCCAAAGGAAAAACTGGCCAGGCTGGCGTGGCTCAGTGGTTGAATATCGACCTATGAACCAGGAGGTCAGGGTTCGATTTCTGGTCAGGACCCGTGCCCGGGTTGTGGGCTCGATCCCCAGAGGGGGACTTGCGGGAGGCAGCTGATCGATGATTCTCTCTCATCATTGATGTTTCTATCTCTCCCTCCCTCTCCTTCCTCTCTGAAATCAATAAAAATATTTTTTTAAAAAGAAAGAAAAACTGCTTAATGAGGAAAGAATCTGCCTGGAGGAAAGGGCAGGTACCTTTAGGATGGAGACGCTGGCGATTCGATCCAAAGGGCTCATGAGATCGGCCTCAATGAACAAGTCCTTTTTTCCTGGAAGCTGAAGACACACAGTCAGTAGTATCCTGGGTCACTCCTAGGTCACACACGCTCCCTCGCTGACAGCTCCCGCGGCCACATGTCTACCAGAACCCCAGTCTCGGAGCTGGAAGGGCGCCAGACATCACCTACCCCGGCGCCTGACTTACTGTTGACATCATATCAACAGTTGACATTTCTCTATATACGCACCTATTTCGTCTTCTCATTTTCTGCACCAGCAGAAAAATATTTCACCTTCTTTCTAAGGTTAACTCCTTGTCACGCAGCCCTCCTGCTGGCCTGGGACCTTGTCCTGGATCACTGCCCGCTTCTCCACCGCCTCCTCCACTCAGCCTCCCCATGGCCCCCGTCTCCTGCTGGACGAAGCCAAGCAAAACCAAACCCCACCCACACCCCGCAACCCCTTGAACTGCCAAATCTCGCTTTTTAAAAAATATATATTTTTTTAATTAATTTTTTACAGCGAGGAAGGGAGAGGGATAGAGAGTTAGAAACATCGATAAGAGAGAAACATCGATCAGCTGCCTCCTGCACACTCGCTACTGGGGATGTGCCTGCAACCAAGGTACATGCCCTTGACCGGAATCGAACCTGGGACCCTTGAGTCCGCAGGCCGACGCTCTATCCGCTGAGCCAAACCGGTTAGGGCTCGCTCTTTTTTTTTTAATCCTCACCCGAGGATATTTTTCCATTGATTTTAGAAAGAGGGAAAGACAGAGAGAAATATTGATGTGAGAGAAACACATTGATTGGCTGCCTCCTGCACTCGCCCCAACCAGGGCCTGGGCCGAGGAGGAGCCTGCAACCGAGGTACGTGCCCTTGATGGGAACTGAACTTGGGACCCTTCGGTCTGCAGGCCGACGCTCTATCCACTGAGCCACACCGGCCAGGGCCCAAATCTCTTTTTAAGTAGCATTTTCCTTCTAATTACAAAAACTGCCTGTGTTCAACACGGAAGAGTTAGCCCAGGGCAGTCCTCTCTCTAGTATGCCCCACTCACCCACCCCAGATCCCTGTCACCTGATTCCGGCATCACCACTCCTAACAGTCCGTCACCTGGCCAGGGAAGGTGAGGTCACACTGAGTGGCAGGGGCGAGGGAAGTCATTTCAAGCTTCCTCTCAACGAGGCCTGGACAAGTGTGTGTGGGAGGGGGTGGGGTGGGGGTTGGGGGGGTGGCAGTGACTCAGTTAGAGGGTAATCCAGCAAAGGACAGGGAAAGAGAACAGGCTGAACCGCAAGATCAAAACCAGCAATTCAGGTGGGCTGATGCATAAGGTCCATAGGGGGCAGTGGTTTTCAGTCCGGATGGAGGGGAAGGGTGGAAAGCAAGATTGAAACAGTTGTTAGAGGGCCTGGAATTGATCCTCTATGGAACGGGGCGGGGGGGGGGGTGGGGGGGTGTGTGTGTGTGTGTTTTGTGCACTGACACATCCTATCAGCTGGGAATGTCAGGTAGATGAATCTGAGACTTTCGGGTAAAAGGGATTGGAGACAGGAGAAACTGGAGGCAAGGGGCCCACTTATGGGGTTGCTGCCACAGTCCTCGCAGCCCAAGCGTGTGGCAGTGAATGAGGACCTGCTTTCGGCTGGTTGGTGGTGTGAACAAAAGACGTTATTCAAGAGACACCTGGAGCCCGGCCGGCGGGGCTCAGCGGTTGAGCATCAACCTATAAACCAGGAGGTCAAAGTTCGGTTCCCGGTCTGGGCACATGCCCCGATTCCGGGCTACCCAGGAGGCAGCCGATCCATGATTCTCTCTCATCATTGATGTTTCTGTCTCCCTCTCCCTTCCTCTCTGAAATCAATAAAAAATATATATTTTAGCCCTAACTGGTTTGGCTCAGTGGATAGAGCGTCGGCCTGTGGACTGAAGGGTCCCAGGTTCGAATCCAGTCAAGGACATGTACCTTGGTTGTGGGCACATCCCGAGTAGGGGGTGTGTAGGAGGCAGCTGATCAATGTTTCTAACTCTCTATTCCTCTCCCTTCCTCTCTGTAAAAAATCAATAAAATATAATTTAAAAATATATATATACACATATATATTTTTAAAAAGACACATGGAATGTGTGATAGGATTTTTTTAATACTTGAAAGAAATGAACAGTGTTAACAGTGCTTGTATCTGATGGCAAGATTATAAGTGATTTTTTTCCTTTATCCTTTCCTTTATCTTGTACATTTTCTATAACGTGCAGTATTTTTATCATCACTATTTTTAAAAAGTCAGGTGGCAGGAGATATCCATAGGACTCAGGAACTGATTCAGTTAAGCGTGAGAGAGGAAGGAAGTTCACCTGAATAACAACGCCCATTAACAAGCACTAAGACACAAGAAGCTCCCTAGCCGGTTTGGCTCAATGGATAGAGCGTCAACCTACGGACTAAAAAGTCCCAGGTTCGATTCCGGTCAAGGGCACATGCCCGGGTTGTGGACTCCGATCCCCAGGAGGGGGTGTGCAGGAGGCAGCTGATCCATGATGCTCTCTCATCATTGATGTTTCTATGTCTCTCTCCCTCTCCCTTCATCTATGAAATCAATAAAAATATATTTAAAAAGACACTAGAAGCTAGTTAGAAGAGGATATTGGAGCACTGAAACCCACGCTGGCCGTGTTGAGTTGTCTCTGTGGCCACTCGTCCCCACCGACACTGCATTTACAAGTTTCTCTCCTTGGTCTCATTTGCTCTTTGATGTGGCTCTCACCTGAGCTAGTGGCTTTAACTAGCATCTCTTCAATTCCTGACATTTGTTGAGAGTAACTTTCATGTGCAAATCAGGGCACATAAAATAGAAATAAAATATGGCCCCAAATCCCCTGAGTTTCTCTCAAGTCCCCGTCTGCTTCCCAGCTGCAGCTCTACATTTCCATCTGCTGGACGTTACGAGCAGTATTTCCCACCGGCATCTTACCTTCACCCTATCCAAACCCAACCTAATGAGCTTTCCCCACCAAACCGGTTCCTCTTTCTAATTCCTTTGTTTAAAAAATATTTTTTAAATTTTATTTCAGAGAAGAAGGGAAAGGGATAGAGAGATAGGAACATCAATGATGAGGGAGAATCATGGATCGGCCGCCTCCTGCACGCCCCATATTGGGGATCCAGCTGGCCACCCAGTCATGTGCCCGGATTGGGAATCGACCTGCGACCTCCTGGTTCATAGGTCGACACGCAACCACTGAGCCACGCTGGCCAGGCTCTAATTCTTTCTTTTTTTCATTTCCATTATGTTCATACAACAAGTATTTATTAAGCCCATGCCACGTGCCTGACTCCAAGCAAGGCACTCACGGGGTAGACAGTGTTAAAACAGACACGTTCCCTGTCCTCAAGGACCTTCCAACCTAGTGGGGAACGTGGACATTAAACAAATAACTATGTGTGTCACAGTGATATTTACAATGACAGCAGCAGCATTATTTTCCTGTTGACCCAAGTTTACCATCTCACACTCAGCTTTGCTTCTCCCTCAGCCTTTACAACCATCAATAAGCTTTTGAATCTTCTCTCACCATGACTTAAAATTCCATCATTCCCCTCTACTCCCCAGGTCACCAATTCTGTCTTTTTGTGTTTTTAAAAATATTTTTTTTATTGATTTCAGAGAGGAAGGGAGAGGGAGAGAGAGATGGAAACATCAATGATGAGAGAGAATCATGGATTGGCTGCCTCCTGCACGCCTCCTACTGGGGATGGAGTGGGCAACCCAGGCATGTGCCCTTGACTGGAATCGAACCTGGGACCCTTTAGTCCGCAGGCTGATGCTCTATCCACTGAGCAAACCAGCTAGGGCCCATGTTGCTAATTTTGTACGGGCCTTTATTACCTCAGTATGATCTATGGTCTCCACATGGGCCTTCTGGTTGGCCATTTACTCGCCTCCACAGATGGCCATTAGAATCATCTTCAAGAATTGCTTTATGCATGGCTACCATCAACAAATCAACAAACGACAAGTGCTGGGAGAGTGTGGAGAAAAGGGAACCCTCGTGCACTGCTGGTGGGAATGCAGACTGGTGCAGCCACTGTGGAAGACAGTATGGCGTTTCCTCAAAACATTAAGTGTGGAACTGCCATTTGACCCAGTGGTCCCACTTCTAGGAATATATCCTAAGAAATTAGAAACACCAATCAGAAAGAATGTATGCACTCCTGTGTTCATAGCAGCTCAATTTACAATAGCTAAGATCTGGAAACAGCCCAAGTGCCATCAGTAGACAAGTGGATAGAAAAGCCGTGGTACATTTACACCACGGGATACTATGCAGCAGTGAAAAAGAAGGATCTCTTACCCTCTGAGACAGCATGGAGGGACCTGGAGAGTATCACACTAAATGAAATAAGTCAGTAGTCGGAGAAAGACAAGTATGATCTCACTCCTATGTTGAATCTAATTAACAAAATAAACTGATGAATGGAGAGGATCTAGAGACATGGAGTGGGGTGGTGAGTGCCTGGGGCAGTGGGCAGGGGTGGGCTGGAGGAGGTCTATGGGGGAGCAAAGGGGGCATATGTAATACTTTCAACAATAAAGATTTTTTTAAAAAAGAACTGCTTCATGCCACAGATGGGGAAAAAATTCATGCCTATTGTGTAACTTCTGATCATTCTCTTCCCTGGACATGCCTCCTCCTTCCCTGGTTCCTCCATCTTGCTCCTACCCATCACCTGCCGGGAACATGGTCTCCCATCTCCAAGAAAAAATAGGCTTATTCTTCACATTCCAGCTCCTTGAAACGCCTAGATCACTCCAGCTGGAACTGATGGCTTATTCTGATCGCTTCAGTCACCCTAGCTGTCACTCGTTCACCACATGATACCCCGTGTGGGGTGGTTTGTGTTTCCTATGGCTCCTCCTGGAGTGTGAGTGCCCTAATAACAAAGATGTCGTGCCCTGACCAGTTTGGCTCAGTGGATAGAGTGTCGGCCTGCAGACTGAAGGGTCCCAGGTTCGATTCCGGTCAGGGGCATGTACCTTGGTTGCGGGCACATCCCCAGTAGGGGGTATGCAGGAGGCAGCTGACCGATGTTTCCAACTCTCTATCCCTCTCCCTTTCTCTCTGTAAAAAATCAATAAAATTTTTAAAAAGAAAAAAAAAGACATTAAAAAAAACGTCTTAACCACCTTTCACCCCAGCGATGCCTGGCACTAGGGTGTCTCCCATGCCGGCATGGGGAAAAGTGATTTCCATGGACTGTCTGGTTTTCCGCCCCGAGCGCTTCCCTTTGGGTCTCCAAGGACAACACCACGCTCAAGGGATTCACAGAAGAACTGTGTGTCCGGCGAGCGCAGTAGAGGGCCCGGCGCGGCGGGCACTGACCTGCTCCAGCAGATAGATGAGCTGGTCCCGGGCCAGCCTCTTGAGCATGGAGAAGTCAGGTAGCTCTGGGGCGTCCGGCCGGTGGGGGAAAGCCATGGCCGCGGTCACCTGAGCCGCGGGGTGTCCGAAGAGGGTCGCCCTCCGCTCTCAGAAGGCCGGCACGGCCCCGGGTCAGCGCAGGGTGGCTCCTTCAGGGCTGGGCACGGAAGGGGCCCTCACTCTTCAGCTGCGCTCGAGGAATGAATGGCCACCTCCGGGCCAGACAGCGGCAGCCTCGGGACACCCTCGCCCCAGGTCTGCAGCCCGCCCCCCAGTCCCGACCCGGCCCTCCCTGCTCCACTCCGCCGGCGAGCGGGATTCCCGGCTTCCCTGCTGCAGAGAGAACACCGCCTTCTGACAGGCAGGAGCGACTTCCGGGACTTTCCGGAAGTCCCATTCGCCCGACCGGCGCTGTGTGTGCTGGGAAGTTGGACGGTGTCCGGGAAGGAACATTTAAAGCCGAAGTCAACGCGTTCAGGTTCCAGTCTCATTTCTGGCCTGAGCGGAGTGTTCCTATGATAAAACCAGTGTTGAAGGACACACTCAATTCTCCCAGCGCACCCACGCGAGGGTTGGGCACTTGCTCGAGTTTCTTATCTTCGTAAAATGGGTGAAACCAATTAAGGCTGAAGGGCGCTGATCATTGGGGATCTTTACTTCAATCAAACCTACTCCTCTAGCCTTCCAAGCTGCAGGAGAGATGCGGGCTGATGGAGGAGGAATTAGGTGGAGGGAAGAGAAGAATGCTAAGTCCTGCTGGCTGTGACCTTTGGGTCCTGGAATTTTGACTTATTAATGCCATTTGTGGGAAAATGGGTAAACTGTGGCATGTTCATAAAAACAAACGAATAAATGAAAGCCAGAACAAAGGTGGCAACAGTATGTCATTTATGTAAGGTTATAGAACAGGCCAAACTAAGCTAGGTTGAAAATTTTTCAGAAAAGTGATTGACTTTGGGATAATTGACTAGAAAGAGAATTTAGGTAATTTTTCAGGGGTGATGGAAATTATGTCTGTTTAGGATAAAAAAAAAAAGCTTATGAGAGACCTAAGGGATAGAGCCGCTGAACTCACTAATCATAACATCACATCCTCATCTGGTGAGATGCATAGAGCATCACCCATTGCCAAAAACTGAGACCTGATCAAGCCTCAAGACCGAGCTATCAGTTCATAGGAAATAGAGGGTAGTGACACGTTAGAAGACATCATGCAGATGAAATATAATGCAGACATTTTATGGGATAACCTGTTAAATCGTGAGGGGAATGAAGTGGAAGGGGAAACCACTTTAGAATATGAGACTTCTGGAACATATCAACACAATGCAATGTTACAGTGTGGACCTTGTTTGGACCCTAATGGGAATAAACCATAAAAACTATTTAAAAAACAATCAGAAAATGCTATCGGGATATTAGCTACAATTAAGGAATTACTAAAACTTAAGTTATAATAATGGCTTATGTATCTTTGTTAAAAAGGAGTCCTTACGCCCAGCTGGCATGGCTCAGTGGTTGAGCATTAACCTATGAACCAGGTCATGGTTCAGTTCCCAGTCAGGGCATATGCCCGGGTTGATGGCTCGATCCCATCTGGGGCATGCAAAAGGCAGCTGATGGTGCAGAAGGCAGTTGATCGATGATTCTTGCATCATTGATGTATCTCTCTCTCTCCACCTCTCAAATCAATAAAAAAAATATTTTTAAGAGTCCTTATGTCTTTGAGATACATATTTAAGTACTTATAAATGAAATATGATATCTGGGGGGAATGTGGGGCAAATATGGGATAATGAAAAGATTGGCCATTTGTTAAATGTAACGCTGTGTGATGGGTACACAGTTCATTGCATTACAATATTCTTCCTACTTTCATAGGTTTGAAAAATTCTGTAAGATTAAGCAAAAAATACTTTTGTGCTCAGAAGTTCAAGAGCTCGTCTAGAATTTTGTACCGAGTTTCCCCCACGCCTCCCTTGCACTGAATCTCAGCTGCAGAGGTGAAGGCTACCCTGAACAGACCACACATATGCCCCCCCCCCCCCACCCCCCGAGCTCAAGGACTTCAGTCCCTTCTGTTGTCCAGTTTGCCAGGCTCTTGAGCTTCGACTTAAGGTCTCTGCTGGAGATTCCTTTGGCCTTATCTTCCTCCCAATGTTTAATGGCAAAGGACCCTTTGCCTCACCCCTTCCCTTACTCTTTGATTCACAGGTAAACCCTCCCACCCCACAGAGCACCAATCAACAGACGGCTACATTTCACTTTATTTTGCACAAAACGGATACAACCAATTGACTAAGCAGCTCCAGAACTGTTAGTGTTCCTTAATCAAGAAGTAAATGATGTCAGAAGGAAAACTTTTCAATTCCTCCCAAACACATATTGCAAATACAACCAACTCCTAACACATGCGACACAGGCTGATTTTGACACAGAGAAAGCCTCAGCAAGAAGGGTGAGTACTGAATACCCACATGGGACAGACCAGGAGCCATGCTCTAGGAGCTAGACTATACCTAGCCCGTTATTCACGCTGCCTGCATATACATCTGCCCTGTGAAGTTCACTGTCCCTTGTCAGATTGAAATCCAAGCAGCTCCTTCCATTTCCAGGCTCATCACTTCCAAGGTGGATAATCCACACGCAGAAATCCAGGCAGCTCAAATATACTCGCTCAGCCGTGTTTTACGTGACATCTCCCAAGCCAGGCTCCAGTTCAAATTCTGTACAGGAAGTTCCCATTGTCGTCAAAGAACTCTCGCCCCCTCTGCACGACCTTGCTGCTGAAGTTCTGGTCACCCAGTTCTCTTGCCCTCAACCCTTCCAGCTTCTGCGCACTTGGCAATCCATCACTGTCAGTGCCTCTGGTGCCCTCACAATCGCTGGTGGAGAACTTCTGCAGCTCTCTCTGATGACCTTGGGCTGCAGCAACAGGCACAAAGCTTTCCTTCTCCAGGCTCTGGGCTCCTTTATTCCTTCCCTTCTGTCTCCTCGGAGTGTTTGTACTCTGAGTGTTCGGTTCTATCACCTTCAAAGCTGTGCTATGACCTTGGCCTTGGGATGAGGCTTCACCTCCTGACACGGGGTGGCCTGCAGAAAGCAGCTTCCAGGTCTCCCCAGGGCCTGGAAGCTGGCGGAGCGAGGGGGCAAGCCCAGCTTTCTTAAGGACTTTTTGATCCTGCTTCAGTTTCTTCTCCAATGTGGGTACAAACTTGCTTTTTAAAACCCTTCTGATCACATCGGTGCTAACAGCAAAGCCTTCAGCCAATCTGGGAACTGACCAGGACTCTGGAAATTCTTCATGTAAATACCTATAGGAAAACGAAGCAGTTTTTCAAGTTGTCAAAAAGATCCTATCAGAATAGCTAACTGATATTAGTGATAAATACGTGAGAAGAAGAGGTACAAGCATAGGCTGTGTTCCATTCCTGTGTGCTAATAGAAACACCCAACCACTCTAAGATCATTTTATTTCACATCAACTTATCTCCCACCACTGATCACCGGCCCGTTAAATTTTGGGGAATGCATGAAGATGGTCCTTCCCTTTAAAGAACATGCAATCCGGTGGCAGAGACAGATGTATTAACATACAATAACACTGTGATAAGTGTCAAAGCAGAGGATGCTGTGAGCATCCACGGGGGAGACCCAGGCACAGGTTGTCACACGCACAGCATGGCCCAGGAATTGCTTCAGAAGTCCACAGTAGAGCTGGTCTGAAAGGATGAAAAGGAGTAATAAGCTGACAGAGGGGAAGAGAAGAGAAGGAAATCAAAAGTACTGATGGTGCATGCCCTAGCTGGTGTGGCTCAATGGATAGAATGTCGACCTGGAGACTGAAGGGTCCCGGGTTCGATTCCAGTCAAGGGCACATGCCTAGGTTGTGGGCTTGATCCCCAGTAGGGGCGTTCAGGAGGCACCCTGTCAATGATTCTCTCTCATCATTGATGTTTCTATCTCTTTCTCCCTCTCCCTTCCTCTCTGAAATCAATAAAAATATATTTTAAAAAAAAGTACTGATGGTACAGTGAGCACATGAAATGCAAAGAACATCACATTCGTGGGGAATAGCTCAACTTGTCGACAGCAAGGGCAGGAGCAAAATCATGCCATACTTAGGAGTCTGGAGTTTACCCCAAATCAACAGCAAACCAAGGAAGGCTTTTAACCAGGGGAATGCCATGAGCAAATTTCATTCTGAAGCTCAATCCAGTGGCAGTTTTCAGTGGCAAGACTAGAGGCAAAAGGCTATCAGAATCATCCAGGTAGTATGAGCTGAGGCGGTGGCAATGAGAGCAGAAAAAGGAAGAGACTTCAGAAATGCTCAGGAAGGGCAAGTGGTAAACTTGGGACTAAATATTGGGGGAGGAAGCAGATTCAGGATTTTAGCTTGGGTGATTGGTGGGATTATAGCAGAAACAGGAGCAGAATTAAATTGTCAGGAACAATGACAAATTCTATTTTGTACATGTTGAGTTTGAGAAGCCTGTGTGACATCCAGAGGTATCTAGTGCGCAGTTGAATATACACAGAGTTCAGAAGAAGAACATGGACTAAAAATGATGGCTTGAACAGCAAAGGCTGCTGAAGCCATGTGAGTGGCTGCCATCAGGCAGGGAAGTAGCCAGAGTGAGGTAAGTGACCGAGAAGACAATTCTACAAAACAGCAATATTCAAGAAACAGGAGGAAGAGAGGGGTGTTCAGGAAGGAAACAAAAGCAGCCCTAGAAACAGCAGTGAGGAGTAACTGGGTCAAGGGAGAAGAGAATTTTATGACAGCAAACGACAAGGTCCAATGCTGCAGAAAAGTTAGGGAGCCTAAAGACTAGATGATCAGTTATGCCTAGCATGTAAAAAAAGTCACTAATAGATTTGTGGAGAATGGTTTCATAGATAAAAAAAAAAAAAAAAAATTAAAAAAAAAAGCAACAACAAAGATGGGCAGCCTACTGGGAACAAAATAAAGAACTTAAAAATGACAGATGTCGGTTCCTGAGGAATTAGGGAGGGATAGGACCTAGCGCACACAGAAGACTGGTCCTAGATGAGTGAAGGGCTACTGTTTCCTCCGAGATGTAAATAGTGCAGGACTGAGATGGAAAACGAGAGGGAAGACCAAGAAGCTTTAATGGACACGCACTTAATGGCCCGTTTTTTCTTTGAAGTAAAAGGACATTTATAGACCACATTTATAGGTCTGACAGGGAGGAAGTTTTGAAGAAGCTGTTGTTCAAGACAGAGGAGGAAGCCAATGCAAGAGGCACTACAGGCCCACAGTCTTCCTCTCCCCCCCCTTTTTTTTTTAATCCTCACCTGAGGATATTTTTCCATTGATTTTTAGAGAGAGTGGAAGACAGAGGGAAAGAGAGAAATATCAATGTGAGAGAAACACACTGAATAGTTGCCCCCTGCACTCTCCCTGGCCAAGGCCCCAGCAGGGAAGGAGCCTGCAATCCAGCTACGTGCCCTTGACCGGAATCAAACCTGGGACCCCTTGGTCCAGAGGCTGATGCTCAATCCGCTGACCCAAATCGGGCCACAAAGTCTTCTTGATCGGCTCTCCAGGATCTTTATTCTAAGTCTCAATTTCAGAG